TCAATGGCGAGAGACAACTTATCTTTTTATTCCGTTTGAACTGTGCCCTCAATTACACATATGATCTTTGTCGATTTAAAATATAATTCTGAAATTCAAACACGTCGCAGTTTGTCATATAACAGAAGAGTAACATTTAGTTTTATGTGAAAATCGCTCTGTGAACTACATCTCCCGGGAAGAGAAACGAGATCCGCTGCTCGTGTGTGTGCAGTCTCGTACAAAACACTCAGGTAGGACAGCATAACGATACGATTATAACGTAAGACTGTAGAAACAATGACAGACAGCCTCAGTAAAGTTAACTTCATTCATTGAGAGAAAATGTGCGCCTTTGGGGTTTGTAGTCTTTGTAATGACGTATTTTCACAGTCTTATACCTCAACGGTTTTACATTAAACTGCGACTTTCTTTACTTTAAAATGTCTGTTTTAAATTGACAAACATCATATGTTTAATTCAGGGCACAATTCAAACGAGATCAAAATATTTGTTGTCTCTCGCCATTGACTACCATTCAATATTTTTCCGAAATAAGGTCCCATGGAGGTCGACCGGAAGGGGAGGGACTTAGGCTCTCTATAGTGGCAAATTATTTGATTAATATGCACTAGGGAGAGAGAGCAAAACAGGGCTTGCTCCTGTTGTTTGAAGAGGTGAGAGTCAGAACTCATTTTCTGGAGGTACACTGCCCCCATCTGGTATGGAATATGGAGTATGATTTGATTTTTTATGGCAGATGCATCTTGTTGTTGAAAGCAGGCTATGGGTTATGTCATGTTATTGTAGTCATATTTGTGACCAGTCATTTATAAAAGACCTTTCCCGTGACATTACTTGTGTATTATTAACAATGCTAAAAAACTTACGTTATAGCTTGAGTTTACGTCACGAGAGAAAATAATACATTTAAACACTTCTTCACAGATAAATGGATTAACCTTCATATTACTGCATATAACCATTAAACAAGTTAAACACACAATACCTTGTTCCCGTTCCAGCTAGGTGCTTAAATGATCCTTTTAGAGCTTTATACAATTTCAGACCGAAATGTGCTTTTCCTTCTTACTTCCGTGGGTGCGTCTGACTAACTAGTCTCACCTTTTTAGACGCGAAATTAACGTTCCACTAGGAAGCACCAAAATAAAAGCCCCTAATATTAACAGAGGAAATAATAAAATAAAGCTCTGAAATTATTATTTACACTTTTCTTTAGAGTTAGTTACAGTATCAGCATTTAATATTTGAACACCATTTACCAACATTTACACTTCCCGAGAGTATTCGATTTTCAATTATAAAGTTTCCAGAAAGGCAAAACTCCAAACTATAAGAAATATTTTTCTCCTCTGTAGCATTTGCACTAACATTCACACGTGATCACCTTCAATCCACAATTTTACCTCAAAATATTGATTTTGTCTAATAAAACTGTTAGTTTTGTTCATTCTACTTCTATTTTTTTCTTTTCTTTTTTCAGGATCGTCTGGTCTAAAAAAACATTTATTCCCATCCCTCCTGACTCCACCCATTAGGGCGGGGCTAAACTTCTACTCATCTAATTGGGCCAATATTCTACTTATTTAATTAAATAACTAACCTGAATGAGTTTTATTTATCTATTTTTTTTAATATATGCATTTTACTTATTTTCTCTTCACAGGTAAAATAAAATAACTTTTACATATGGATGTTATAGTTATCTTTTTTCTTAAATTTTTTCTTTTTTTCTTTCTCCCTTTTCAGCTTCAATAAGATTTTTAGTAACCTGGGTCCCATAACACTTTAAAGAGAATTGATGTAACATAATAAACCAGTGAGCATCTCTGGCCCTCGAGATCCACTTTCCTACAGAGTTTAGCTCAAACCATAGAATGAAAAACACATGAACAAACTAATCAAAATCTTCAGAATTACTAGAAATATACAGGCATTTGAGTTTGATCATGGTTCTAACAATTGTTCAAAAAAGCAAATTCAAATAATTAAAAATCCACACTTATTTATTTAGTTATTCGTTTATACAGAACATTTGATACAGAATAAAGTTATGTACTGTCGTGGAAATTTTTTGCCTAAATCTTAAATAATAATTGAAGAACAAATGAAGATCTGGAAATCCATAAATGTATTTATTTCTTGCTAGAAAGGCAGTTCACACACAGACAAGACAAACGTCTTCTCATCTTACACAGTTTATATACTAAAAAGATCATCCTCCGAAATGTACACCTCCCCTCCTTATCTTCGGACTAAGGCCCCTTGCACATACACAGTTCTCAGTTCCCTATATTCTAACACTTCTCATGTATACCCACACGTAAACACACATCTCAATCATGTCATTTCAAATACAACTAAATACATGTTTTGCTCTTGGTGCAAGCAAACATATCTATTTCTGAGAAGAACAGAACTTTCTGTCCTTTTACACACGTCCCATTTGCATAGGAGATAATGCATCTTGCAGTTTCTTTAACACATCTATATTTTAAAGAAGACACACAAACAAATATATGTTTCAAGAGATACATTTCAAATAAAAAAAATTCAATTACATTATGCATGTTTACCAATTACTCAGACGAGTGATCTAGAACAAGCAATGCCACACAATATCATTAAGCTATTGAAAGAACAAACACAACAACACACATACACAACATTTTTTTTCTTTTACAGTTTAAGGTTATGACAAATATACAGTTTTCACAGGTTTATATGTGTGGAAGGGTTAACTACAATATTATTTATTTAGCTTAATATTCACAAAAATAAGGAAATGTGAAAATGTAATTGGCAAAAAAGGATTTTTAAATAACGTATTTTATCAGTAAAATCCCGTTTACATGATCTGAGGGGGCGGGAGAGTCCCGTTGACTCACGCCCCCCAGTGGCGCCGGCCCTGCAAACAGGTTCATATCAGAAATCGTTGTCCTCTGTTACGGCGTACTGACTTTGGTCTTCAGCAGTTGAAACTGTGAAATACACACACAAACATTTTCAACATTGAACCCTCAGGTGGTCTTCGGTCATTTCTGACCGAAAAAATTTCTGTTTTGAAATTTTAAAAATCACAGCTTCATCCGAATGTTACGAAACTTGGTGACTTTTATGACATTATGTATGTGAACACAAAAAATTGAGGTCATGATCCGAGCATGCTAAGTGGTCGTAAAAAAAATAGTCACACTTGTGGTCTTCGGTCAAAAATGACCGACCCATAGGAAATGAATGGGAAATTGACAAACACAAAAATTCACAATTTTTTTTTTTTTTTTTAACATTTTTTTAATGAAAATCGTTTTTGAGATTGTTTCAACCATATATTAAAATCCACCAAAAAAAATAAATGTGTTCATAAACATCTGGGGAATTCACATGCTTCTCCATAGAGAGCTGTACATGCCATCTAGTGGTTACACCATGATTCAACGCTTTTTTTCTATACTGTAACCAGATGGTGCTAATTTTCTTCAAAAAAAAAATATATTTTTTTTTTCTGAAGGTCTAGACTCTATATTAAACTAAAATACTGCATTAATAACTTTTTGAAAAAAGTAATATATATATAGAAAAATATATATATTTTTCCATGGCAAAAATAGACCATAAATATTGCATAAATATTAATAAATTCAATCAAATTGTCTCAAAATACTAAATTAGAAAGAATAAATATTATAGAACAAAAATTAATTGTATTGGTTTTACTGGGATGGAGGACATTTAATTTTTAGGTGTCCGGTCACTTTTGACCGGGAAGATAACAAGTGTGACTCCGAAACGGACACACTTGAGGGTTAAACGGACATGTCTTAAAGTAAAAAAATCACTTCTGTTATTGCTTTTGAGAGACAGAGAGTGTGTGTGTGTGTGTGTGAGTGTGTGTGTGTGACAGAAGTTTTACCTCTTGCTCTGTAACATTTGAAAAGCAGCACGACTGTCGCTAACAGATACGGAGAAGCTGCCAGGAAAAAACTGAGGATTTTGTAGACAGAAATCTGACCTGGAAAACAGAAACACAAGAACATTATTGACCAACATTACAGAGCTTTCATGTTGCTCAAACCTGTACGGACTTCTTTCTTGTGTGAAACATAAAATATATTTTGTTGGAATTTTTTTCTTTTCTCTTTTCATTTTTCCAAATAACTGCTTATGTTCCACAGAAGAAAAAAAAGTAATACATGTTTGGACTGCCATTAGGGTGAGTAAATGATGACATAATAGTGTATTAATAAATGAAGTTATTCATTTTAAATCATTCTCCTCTTCAGGACAAAACTGTATGTTTGACACTGAACACATATGATCAGATCACATCAGATTCATTCCTTGCTGCTTTCAAATGAATAAATCATTTATTCAAAGTCAGATGTTGATAGTAAAGTGGCGAACAAGTTTGATTTGATTTTATTATAATGCCGAAACACTCTAGACTTCATTGAATTGTGTTATATTGTTTATAAGGTGTTGTTTTCACAAAATGTCAGTATTGTCACGATCACCAGCTGGAGTGCCCTTGATAGCCATCAGAGGGCCTTCATTACCCATAATCCTTTGCCCGGACTCATCAGCACTCATTGTTTTCAGCTGTGTCTCATTAACCCTGTTAACTCACCCTTTATAAGCCTGGACAATTCAGATTTTCATCACTAAATATTAAGTGTGTTTTATCTGCATTTCTGAGCCTCAGACCTGAACTCGGTTATTGTTTGTCTGTGTATGACCTTTTCCTATTTTTGGATTGCAATTGTGGATTGACCTTTCAATAAATCCTGCATTTAAATCCTCAGCCTTTGTATCTCAAGCAAACATGACAAGTATATTTTGCCAGGGATGTGATGGTTATGCTTTCGTTCGTGTGAGTTATGTGAAACAATAAACACGGACGTCAATAACGGATTTTGTTCCAGCAGAAATAAGAGACAGACACTGAGTAATATATAATAGTATATAATAATGGTGTGGCGTTTCTCATTAAATCATCTCACCATTAAAGGCTTCAGTGACTGAGATCCAGCTGTGGAGAGACTGTCCTCTCTCTGTTTTACAGGAGTAGAAACCCTCATGTGACTTTGAGACAGTAGTGATGCTCATCTCTCCTGTCGTCTGATTCTGGATCAGTGATCCGTCTTTATAGAAATCAGCGCTGGAGATCGGGGAGTTTGTAGATCGATGTAAACAGTGTAGAGTCAGAGTCTCTCCCTCAATCACAGGATCAACAGAACTCTCCAGAATCACCTCACCGTCTATAAACACAAGATATGTGTGTTTAATAGAAGAATATAGCAAAACAATTCATAAGAAAAATACTGATGATGAATTTATTAAACTTCGTACTTCCTGAGCTTTTTATATTAATGAAGAATAAAAATATATTGGGTTTTTTTCTAGTGTTATATATCTTTATTAATCTCATAATGTATTTTGTGAAGTCAGAGTTTGTTTGCTGTAAGCTAAGGAGAGATTTGGGATGAGATATATTTTGGTAAACAACATACAGTATGTTCAGTGAGTAAAGGTTTTCCACTGATGATGTACTTCAACTGTGTTCAGTTGGCCTGTTCTTTATAAGGAAATGAATGTTTTTCAACTGATGCAAATGTACCACACATGTACACACCGATGGACCGTTTCTTAATATGGAAATTGGATCGTACCGTGTGTAAGCATGAGGTATACGTTACATTTTAAACATAAGCAACATGTTTTGCTACCTTACGAGGAAGTTGTAAGTCCCTCAGTTGTGAATATAAGCTCAATCATTATTGTGTAACCCCAGAGAAACACATAAAGGCATAATAGGTTGAGAGATGGGGAGAAAGAACAGAGAAATGGAGAACTGAGAAATCTGGAATGAAGACGACCTCGCCTGTAACCTTCCTCTCAAAATAATAAAATAAAAAATTGTAAATTGAGTAAAAATAAAAAATAAGAGATCTCTTGGTAAAGTAACTGGTGTAGCTTCTGTGATTCAACCATAACGGGGAAAAGCATGATGTTCAAATCTACAAACCCGATCTCATGAGTAAACCGGACTCACCGTGTACAGTGATGTTTCGAGGACGGCGTTTCTCTCCAGATTCAGACTCACACCAGTACACTCCAGAGTCAGATGTGCTGAGAGAGTCGATTACACATCCAGATCCTGTTTGTTTGGCACAGGTTTGTGTGTGTGTGTCTGTGTATCTTCTCACTGTCCATCCAGCAGAGTTACTCTGATCCACACAGCTCAGAGAGAGAGACTGAGATGAGAAGTGTTGACTTCTGCTGGGATCGATGACCAGAGACACTGAAGCAGAAACTCCTGAAAAGAGGAAAATCTCCATCAGAACTGACAGCACAGAGACTGCAGTGAAACACAGATGCGGATGAGCACAAGCAGAAACCCTCACCAGTGAGCCACAGTGTGTGTGAGCTGCTGTTGTGTGTGTAATAGGCTGGTCGTCCTCTCTCTGCTCTGCACGTATAAACTCCTGTGTGCTGTAGAGCAGCAGGACTGAGAGTGTAAGATCCTCCAGCTCCTCTGCTGCTGTCTGACAGATGATCATGATCTCTGAACCAGCTGAACGTCCAGCCTGTAGAGGAGCCTGAAACCTCACAGATCAGAGTCACTGATTCTCCTTCAGTCAGCCACGGCTGTGGAGACACTCGCAGTGATGCCTGAGCTTCAGCTGAACAAAACATCACGAGTTACAGAGCCGTGGAGGAACTGATGGAGAAGCTGAACATAACACACACACACACACACACACACACACACTCACCTGAGACAGTCAGTGTAACAGCATCACTGCGCTGAGAGCTGAGAGTGTGTATCAGTCCTGTACAGGTGTATTGACCGCTGTGAAAGAGATCGACACTGCTGATGATCAACTCTTGTGTTGAGGTTCGGCTGACCGTGTTTTTATATCGGTCGTTGGTTCCCTCTATTTCCCATCTGTATGTCCACTCAGTGTCTCCTGCCCACTTTATATCACATCTGAGAGTGACTGTTTCTCCTCTAAACACTCGTTCATCAGGTCGTACCGTCACCACAGCTTTAGGACTCACTGTACAAACACAGATTATTGCATTTATAGTTTCAGAAGTTGTGTAGATATTGTCTCTGATCTGTATTTGTTGCATCACACACTACAGTCTCTCTCACCTGTAACATTTACCCACAGTGCATCACTGTATTGTGTGTAATAGACTGGTTTCCCTCTTCCAGCTCTACACCAGTACTGGCCTCCATCAGACACTGAATCAATCTTCAGGCTGTAGGAGTGTGTTTTCTTCTTCTCTGTCTCGGGGTTCAGTGTGTGTTTGTACCAGTAAATGTCCCAGTCTCTGGTTAGATTCATGCGACAGGTCAAAGTCACTGTGTTTCCAGTCAGTGCAGCTCCTGCAGGATCTGATGTGAGTTCAGGCTTCGGCTGTAGATCTGCAGGAGAACAACAACAGATTCAGATCCTCCAGAGTCAGAGTTCACCTGTGTTACACAAATCATTCAGTGTTTGTTTCCAACTACATTAAAAAAAATGGTGAGGGTGTGTGAGATTAAATGATGACAATTTTCCTTCTCAGGTGAGCTAATGTTGAAACTTTGGTGTGAGCGTCAAATAAAATACTTCTTAAATCTAATGTTTCATGAACTGTAAATCATAATCAGATACAAAACGATGAAACTTCTGAAAACCAAAGCTGCATTTGTATAAAGAGTCACAAATTCTCAGAAAGTGCAAGCAGCAATAAATAAATAAATAAAAATACATATAGAAATGTTTTATGTTTATTAAAAAACTTGGAGGACAATGATGTTGAACTCACCCTTTACAGAGAGAGAAACAGCAGAGCTTGATGTTGATGAGTCTGGTTCTCCGTCTATCTGTCCTTTACACCCGTACTGACCCTGATCAGACTCAGTAGCTCCTCTGATAGTGACAGTGTCTCTGTTTACTGTGTAACGATCAGACTTCTGTAATATTACACTGTCTTTATACCACTCATATCTCCAGTTACTGTGATAAGGTTTTATCACACACATCAGATTGACTGTTTCTCCAGTGAATACAGGACCGGCTGGTGTCACAGTCACTGTAGATGTGGGTAAATCTGAGAAGAAACACAGAAACACAAACTGACTCAAACATCTCTTTCAGTGCATTGTAACAGAATTATATTTTATAAATGTTTTGAGGAAGTTGAAGATCTCAATGATGAAGTGTTTTTGCAACAACAGTGACTGTAGCTGAAGCGCACAACTACTATAATTATATGCTGATTGAGGCGGCCAAATATGGACGGGAATCCCGGTCAGAGAATCAGGGAGCGGAGAGAAGATTCTTCACAGAGATGTTTTATTGTATAGTCATCTGGATTAGTTATTCATTGGCAATGAAGTCTGTATTAATGGTATCAAGTCATAAACGCATTAAACAAACATGAATAAGCGTGCTGAGGTGAACATTCCCCATGACAGTCTTCCTGTGTGTACCACTATAACCAGTCCGTGTAGCAACGACTTCTATTTCCAAGACAGGCTTTCGTACAAGTGACAAAAGTGCATTAAAGCTCCTGCGTTCATCAGAGTCAGAATAAACCCAGAATAATCTCTGCTCAAACATTATATACTGTATTACATTCTTCCTCCAGCTCTACATGTAAATGAAGTTTAGTCCTAAAAGTAAATTGAAGATAACAATGAAAGTAAAGCCTTCCGTTCCCACATCATTGATATTGTTTGAGACGGGACTCCATGTGTCCTTCATGTATCTTCTGAACACAGGATTATTCTTGACGTCCCGCTGCCGTTTCACACTAGAAGTGATCGAGTTTCACTCCGCTGATATTTACATATTACTGAGATCAGGAGGAATCATCTTTATGATAATTAAGAAATATATTCTAATATTGATGTTGAAGCTGATTCGGGCAGACTAACATGATGAGTCATGATGATTTTGTCTCATATTTCATAGTATTAGTTGTGTTTTGTTGCTGTTCTGTCATTAGTTTTATCATGTCAGTTGTTTTGAGGCTCTGACTCGCCACAGAAAGCAGAATGAAGCTCCTGAAGGAGAGATGAAGATCTCCAACTAAAGCTCATATGAGGAGATACTGAGACTGAATCAACTTCATCAGAATATCTGAAGACTTCATCAACTCATTTCACATCAGTGTCTGTAAGTCACGTCATTCTCTCGGACAAATCTCATCTTTTCTATTATTAAATATCTCCTGTAACCAAACTAACAGTGACTAAAGTAAATCTCAAAGATGGAGACGTCTTTAACACTGGAAAATCACAATTTACAGGATTTTATAAAAGTATCCTGATAAAAATGTGCAACACACACTCACACACACACACACACACACACACGACAAACATGTCATGCACTTCATCTGAAGACAATCATGACTAAAAGTGAATTGCTTATAAGAACAGACGTGGCTGATACAGAAGATCATAAGTGTTGAAATATGGATATTAAATGATGATTAAACAGATGTGAATATGAAGACTCACCTGATACAGTCAGTGTAACTCCAGCACTCTCTGTGTGTGAGTCTGATCTCTCTCCTCTACATCTGTATTCACCACTGAGAGACACATCAGCTGTGAAACTGTAATATGCTGTTGTTGTTGTTGTATTTGGATTGCCAGTGTTTCCATCTTTAATCCATCTGTATCTCCACTGAATGTTTCCTCCTCCCTGTATGACACATGTGAGAGTGACTCTCTCTCCTCTGAACACAGGCTGATCTGGCTTCACCTTCACTACAGGTTTTCCTGTATTAATACAGATATGAGTAAATATTGATTAAAACAGCATCACAGTATCATGATCAATGTTAGTGTTTATGAACTCAAAACCTCCTTATGAGACAAAGACTGTGTTAAAAATGAAATATCTAGTTTGTTGGAAGTTTGTATTGATTACATACATTTTTTTATTTATTGATAGATTATATACAGATAAACTTTGTATAAACTAAAAGACTGGGTATAGAATACCACACATGTAAACCGAGTCTATAATACATATTACTTATACTTCTATTTACATGTCACAGAATTACAGCTTGTGCAATATTTATAAATCTTACATAATTTAAGAGTATAAAAATTTTACTGACTTAAACATGCAATGTGATGAGGTCATGAGCCAATGTAACATAATACAGTTCAATAATATACTGTGGTAAAAACTGCTGATTCAGAAACAACCCAGTTTAGCAGTTGATTGGGCTAAATGTTTTTTTAACCTAATTATTGGAGTAAAATTCCTACATTTCTGGATTAAGATTAACCCAAAATAATTTGAAAATAAAACCAGGAATCTTGGACATTATTAAATCACTTTACACACACAGAATGACTATCAGAAGGTACAATTTGATTAAAAATGAGAATAAGGACAAACATAGTCAAAAGTAACCAGTGTTGTTAACTGTGTGCTCTCAATATGCATTATTTATTTATTTATTTATTTATTTTTCTTTTCTTTACTATTGATTGTTTACGTATAATGAATGAAATTGCACGTGATGAGTAATGGAGGTGTGAACATTTGTGATTGGTTGTTTAATGAATAAAATCACCTTGAGTGAGCACAGCTGTAGCTGTGTGTGTTGCAAACCAGATACGTTGTTGCGTTTTACTCTGTGAACAGGTTATGGGCCCAGTCTGTCAGGAAGTCAAGCGATTGTTTTAGTAGAGCCATGAGTAGGCCTAACGCCAGAAAAACGGAACATAGCGGTCGCTGGTCGCGGCTACTGTTCGACGGAGATGAAAAGAATTATGAACTTTGGGAAGTTAAGTTTTTGGGCCACCTCCGGTTGCAAGGCCTGAAAGAGATAATTACTACAGAATCAGCAGGTGTGGAGACACTGGAAGAAGCTGCTTCAAATGCCGAGGCATATGCAGAATTAATCCAGTTCTTGGACGATAAAAGTTTGTCGCTTGTAATGCGAGAAGCAGCCGACGATGGGCGCGCAGCGTTAAAGATTTTGAGAGACTACTACGCAGGTAAAGGAAAGCCACGAGTAATAAGCCTGTATACTGAGATAACCTCGCTTCAAAAATCAAGCAGCGAGAGTGTGACTGAATATGTTATCCGTGCTGAAACTGCTATCACGGCTTTACGAAATGCTGGAGAGACTTTGAGTGACGGGCTGCTGGTGGCTATGGTTCTAAGGGGCTTCCTGAGACTTTCAAACAGTTTGCCATCCACATAACGCAATCGGATGACAAGATTACGTTTGCTGAATTTAAAACAAAGCTTCGGAGCTACGAGGACATCGAAAAGATGCGTGCTCCAGTTGGAGGATAATGTGATGACTGTGCAGACAAACAGTGGCCTGCGAGACCCACCAGTGCTGGCTCAACTGAACGGGCTGCAGCGGATGTGATGTGCTACAGATGCGGTCTGAAGGGACACATTGCCCGCGCTTGCCGGCGCAAACTGTGGTGCAGCCACTGTAAGAGTAATACTCATCGCGACGTAAACTGCAGGAGGAGACGGCGCCATGACGCGACATGGAGGGCCACCGAGGAAGCGACTGATGAGTATGTTTTCAGGGTGACCGATGGAGAGGCAGGATTCCAGCCAAACAACAAGGGTGTCGACGTGAGGGGCTTGATGGTCGACTGCGGGGCAACCTCGCATATCGTCACCGACATCTCCAAGTTCAAAAAGTTTGATGATGAGTTCCAGGCAGCGACTCATTACATGGAGCTAGCTGACGGCACAAGGTGTAAGGGAGTAGCAGAGCGCAGAGGTGACGCTGAGGTATTCTTGGTGGACAATCGTGGACGCCACCTAAAGACAACGCTGAGACGTGCGCTGTACATTCCCTCATACCCACAGGACATATTTTCAGTGCAAGCAGCGGCTTCCAGTGGAGCAAGCGTGACGTTCAGGAAAGGTGAAGATATTCTGGTGCACAATGACGGTACAAAATTTCCCATTCATTTACATGAGAGATTATATTATTTGCAGACTGTATCTGATGGATGTGATGACCAAATGAATGGATGTTATGATTTAAAAACATGGCATGAGATACTGGGACACTGTAATTTTGATGATGTGCAAAGATTAGAAGGTGTTGTTGATGGTATGAAAATTGAAGGTTCATCAAACAAACCTATAACTTGTGAAGTGTGTACCCGAGGCAAGTTTACACAGTCCAGAAACAGAAAGCCTGATGTAAGAGCTAATAAGCCTCTAGAGCTAGTGCACGCAGATTTGGCCGGTCCAATTAACCCAGAGTCCAGAGAGGGATATAAATATGTTTTGTCATTTACTGATGATTATACTAGTGCCGTGTTTGTATATAGTCTTAAAAGTAAAAGTGACACACTACAAGCAACGGAAAGGTTTCTTGCTGATATGGCACCATATGGTAAAATTCAACGTCTTCGATCTGATAACGGCACTGAGTTTATTGCAAAGCAATTCAAAACTCTGTTGGTTAAGAATGGTGTAAGACACGAGACTTCTGCACCATATTCTCCCCACCAAAATGGTACAGCAGAGCGAAATTGGCGTACACTTTTTGACATGGCACGATGTATGCTGATAGAGTGAGTTACCTAAAAATGTATGGCCTTTTGCAGTGCAGACCGCAGCCATAATCAGGAACAGGTGCTTTAACAACCGCACCAAACTTACACCAGTTCAGATGCTAACAGGGAGACGACCCAATCTTGCTAAGATGCAAAAGTTTGGTTCAGAGTGTTTCGCTTATGAGCAAGACAAAAGAAAGCTAGATCCAAGAAGTCAAAAGGGTGTGTTTATTGGTTATGATAAAAGCAGTCCAGCATACATCGTCTATTTCCCTGAGAGCAGGAAAGTACAAAAGCACAGGTTAGTTAAGTTTCTTTCTAAGACCTGTGTTGAACAACAGACTCAGACTACCATTGATGATGATGATGATGATGTTTTGAAGCAGAGAACTAGGCAGGATGTAAATTCAAGTCTAGCAAATGACCAGGTTTCAGTCAAAGAGGAGGAGTGGAGTAGTCCTCAGACCCAATCAGTTGAAGCTATTCCTGAGCCTTCAAGATACCCTTCTAGAGTGAGGAAGAAGCCAAGCTATTTACGTGACTATGTTTCTCAACAGGCATCTGATGAGGAAACTGATCAGGTGCAGATCAACGTAGATTACTGTTATAGAGTGACATGTAATATACCTGTAACTTTTACAGAAGCTCTAAACTCAGACAGATCAAATGAGTGGGTCACTGCAATGGATGAGGAGATTCAATCACTTAGAGAAAATCACACATTTACCCTAAGTAGTTTGCCCGAGGGAAAGAAAGTAGTGGGGGGCAGATGGGTTTATGCGATTAAGAATAACATAGATGGATCTGAAAAGTGCAAAGCACGTTATGTAGCCAAGGGATACAGTCAGAAGAGAGGTGTTGATTATGAAGAGACTTTTTCCCCTACAGCTAACTTGACTAGTATCCGAGTGATAATACAAAAAGCAGTACAGGAAAACTTGATTCTGCACCACAGGGGCGATTCTAGGGTCAGAGCTTTAGGGGTGCTGAGCACCCAATGAGCTCCACCGCCACCACCCACATTTTACATCCATATACGCTCCCTCTCTCTCTTCATTTTATTTATTTATTTATTTGTAAGGGGGACAGTGTACACATTAATCAACATTAGAACAATGAAAATGTACCCGAGTTAGCTAAAAGAGCTAATTTTCATCGGTAGTCCCCCAGCCAGGAGTAAAAATAGGCAACCTTAAAGATCTTAACAAATTTGTAAAACTATGTTGGTTGGCCTCTGTTCCTAGGGGGGTTCGGGGGCATGCTCCCCCGCTAGAAAAATTTGTACATTTTAAGGTTAAATGCATCAATCTCGTGCTCTTTGAGAGATCAAAATTAAGAGCTTCAACCTTCAACGAACTGCTCATTGAACAAAGAAAAAGCATTGATTTGTACTAGGACAATAAAGAGGGCTCAAACATCTTTTTAGTTGAGTCTCAGTCTACATTACATTATCAATGGTGTTTTAGGACCCCAAACAATTATAATAATGTAATAATGATTTATATAATTATTCCTATGATGTAAAATCCATATAGCCTATATAAATGTACTATATAAGTGAAAATTAATATTTCAAAAGTATATTTTAGTCAACATTAGGCTACACTATAGGAAAATTAAAATACTTTTGTCATATTTCTACACTTGCAAGAAATAAACCCAAAGCTTTTATTTAGGAGAAAACACCAGATATAACCATGCTGATCGCGTGAGCAAAGTGCACACTTTTCTTTAAATCACCCAGCAAAATTGGATGCCTATTAAAGTCTTGTGCTGTTTTATATAGGCACACAGCCATATCGTGGATTCGATTTTTTGCTTCCCCTCGCTTGGGCGCATGGCGAACTTGAAATGTATACATTTTATCAGACCGGCGCTCGCGGCCTCGAAACACCACCGGCTCACCGGGAAAACTCCCGACTCTCCCGATTGCCACTCTGTTAACGTTACTCCACAGCGGCGGCGACCCGCTAGACTAAAACAGTCCGAAAATAAACACTTATTATAGGTGTACACCAATAATTCAGGATACTGACTCCAGTACTCACCGATATGGTTTCGGAATCGGAACAACTGAAAGAAAAGAAGTGTGAGACACAGCTCTGGAGCGTCTCAATTGATTCACAAAACTACCTAACGGTGTGTTTCGCGCTGGATGACGGCCGTGCTGAGTGGTGCAGGTTCAAAGAAGTAACGTTAGAAGAAGAGAAATGTTTTCATTTTCATTTCATTTTAAACCACAAACTACTGAGTATGTTTTGGACATTATTTAACCGTGTCAAAGACGAACAAAATTTTTAGAATAACAAATTTCTTTCTCCAAGTTTTAGGGGTGCTGAGCTCCTTTTTAGGGGTGCTGAAGCACCCCTAAAAAGGGGCTAGCCTCGCCCATGCTGCACCATATGGATGTAAAAACTGCCTATCTGAACGCACCAATAGATCATGAAATTTACATAGAACAACCAGAAGGTTATGAAGTAAAATCTGACACAAATGAAAAATTGGTTTGTAGATTGGAGAGGTCATTGTATGGGTTAAAGCAGTCGGGCAGAAACTGGAACAAGGTACTACATGACTACTTGACCAGTAACCACTTTGTGCAAAATCAAGCTGACAATTGTGTGTATACATGGGAAACTGCTAAAGAAAAAGTGATCATTGTAATATGGGTTGACGATTTGTTGATTGTGGCAAGTGATGAAAATGTTCTGAGACGTGTGAAGGACATGCTTACCGAAAGATTCCAAATGAAAGACTTGGGCAAATTGAGGCATTTTTTAGGTGTTGATTTTGACCAGAGTGACAACTGTGTGAGAATGTCACAAGCAAAATATGTGACAAAAATATTGCAAAGGTTTAACATGCAGGATTGCAAACCTAGATCAACTCCTTGTGAACAAAAACTTGACTATAACAATGATGCTGAAAAGATGATTGATGTGAAAAAAATATAGAGAGGCAGTGGGAAGCCTCATCTATTTGACCATCTGTACTAGAGTTGATCTAAGTTTTGTTGTAAGCAAACTGTCACAATATTTCACAGAACCAACTGTTGAACAATGGTCCACAGTTAAACAGGTACTAAGGTATCTTAAAGGCACAATTGACAAAGAACTGTGTTACAGAAAATGTAATGAGACACTGGGAATAAGAGCATACAGTGATGCAGACTGGGCAGCTAGTAATGACAGACGTAGTACAACTGGCTATTGTGTAAGTTTGACTAAAGGTGGTGCTTTGATTTCATGGAAAACAAAGAAACAGCCAACTGTCGCACTGTCCACCTGTGAGGCAGAGTATATAGCCCTAGCCACAACCATACAGGAATGTCTCTATCTTAAACAACTGTTGAAAGATCTTGATAAATGTCAGTACTCGCAACCTGAAATCTATGAGGATAACCAAGGTACAATCGCCTTAGCAAAAAATCCTGTGAGCAGGCAAAGATGCAAACATGTAGACGTCAAGTACCATTTTATTAGGTCTTCTGTAAATAATGGTGACATTGCATTAGTGTATTGTCTCACTAATGAGATGGTAGCAGATGTGTTGACAAAGCCTGTAACCAGGTGCAAGATGATGAAGTTTGATGAATTCATTTTTGGAAAATGATGCATTCAATGTTAACAATGTGAGAGCAAGTGGGGGTGTTAACTGTGTGCTCTCAATATGCATTATTTATTTATTTATTTTTCTTTTCTTTACTATTGATTGTTTATGTATAATGAATGAAATTGCACGTGATGAGTAATGGAGGTGTGAACATTTGTGATTGGTTGTTTAATGAATAAAATCACCTTGAGTGAGCACAGCTGTAGCTGTGTGTGTGTGTTGCAAACCAGATACGTTGTTGCGTTTTACTCTGTGAACAAGTGTGCATGCGGGAAGAAAAGCAGAAAAAAATGACAAATCAGATACACAGTTTAGTTATTAATCTGTCTGTCTGTATGAAAAACTTGAATGCAAACATTTATGCACAAATGTATGTAACAAAGGAAGCCCATTTGTGTGTTTTACGAGAAGGACATTCTGAATATGATCCCACTGTGAGATTAGCTGGACTGATGATTGTTGATGATCTCCCGGTGCTATTCATATTGGAATTGTGTAACAGATTATGAACAGATGTTTTACACAGCAAGGATATATTCCCATTGGGTTGTTGGGTTTTCATGTTTTATGTGGGAACTTTAGACATAATGATTTTTATACAGTATTTTTATACAGTGTTATCCCCCATTTCTAATGTAACCGAAGGTCGTCTACAGACATCTCATGTTACGGACATATTTTATAATGGTACTGTTACGTTTAGTATTGTATTTTTATTTCCACTTCCCTTTTATCCAAAACACTGAACTATTTGCACAGTATTTATCAATGCGAAATACATCATGCTAAAATAATCTGTCATATGTAGGCGTATGTGGCTCACATTAATGGAGTTACGTGACCAGCAACATATTTCTGCTTCAAATATTGTGCGTAGTTAACAGTGAGTGGTGGTTTCAGACATTATTTTATTAAAGTGCATTTGTTAATGCCGCACTCGTGACTCTTATTCTGCCGGACAGAAAGAAAAGATTGTACTGAAGGCGGAGCGGTTTGACCAATCAGATGAAAGGGGCGTTTCAGCATAAATGAAATATCGAACCCATAAATCGATTTGTAAACCACAAACGAAAAATGAAAAGTGAAAAATGAAAAATCACAAATGAAAAAGCCAAAATCAATTTTTTCTTTTTTTTAAACTCAACAAAGAAACAAATAAACAAGCTGGTTTTCATTTCTCGTTATTCCATTCCAAACAGGAAATCAAATGGCCAAAAGATACACGGACGGACCACACACACAAGTTACGAATTCCCTTTCGCTGTTTCACTTCCAGCTCTTGAATATTTACATTGGAAAGGCTGAAACTTTCGTGATGATGAAGCGCTGACACGTCAACTGTACAGAGTGTCATTCACTGTTGTTCACTTTGTGTAGAAACTGGCCGACTGACACCGTTCACACACTCACTGATTTTTACTCACATTTGGCTTATGATGAGTGTTAATTATTGGCCCTGTTTACTGAATTTAATAAGACAGTAGATCAGTCTCAACAGTGTCTCAATTATATATACTGTTTCAGAGAGAGTTTATGATGTTGAACTCACCCTTCACAGAGAGAGAAACAACAGAGCTTGATGTTGATGAGTTTGGTCTTCCATCTCTCCGTCCTTTACACCAGTACTGACCCTGATCAGACCCAATAGCTCCTCTGATAGTGAGAGTGTCTCTGTTTACAGTGAAACGATCATCTGACGTCTGTAACTTTACACTGTCTTTATACCACTCATATCTCCAGTTACTGTGATCAGAGTTTATCACACACTGCAGATTGACTGTTTCTCCAGTGAATACAGGACCGGCTGGTGTCACAGTCACTGTAGATGTGGGTAAATCTGAGAAGAAACACAGAAACACAAACTGACTCAAACATCTCTTTCAGTGCAATGTAACAGAATTATATTTTATAAATGTTTCGAGGATGTTGAAGATCTCAATGATGAAGTGTTATTGCAGCAACAGTGACAAAGTGTATTAAAGCTCCTGCGTTCATCAGAGTCAGAATAAACCCAGAATAATCTCTGCTCAAACATTATATACTCTATTACATTCTTCCTCCAGCTCTACATGTAAATGAAGTTTAGTCTTAAAAGTAAATTGAGGATAACAATGAAACTGAAAGTTCCCTTCCGTCCCCACATCATTGATATTGTTTGAGACGGGCCTCCATGTGTCCTTCATGTATCTTCTGAACACAGGATTATTCTTGACGTCCCGCTGCCGTTTCACACTAGAAGTGATCGAGTTTCACTCCGCTGATATTTACATTATATTCTAATATTGATGTTGAAGCTGATTCGGGCAGACTAACATGATGAGTCATGATGATTTTGTCTCATATTTCATAGTATTAATTGTGTTTTGTTGCTGTTCTGTCATTAGTTTTATCATGTCAGTTGTTTTGAGGCTCTGACTCGCCACAGAAAGCAGAATGAAGCTCCTGAAGGAGAGATGAAGATCTCCAACTAAAGCTCATATGAGGAGATACTGAGACTGAATCAACTTCATCAGAATATCTGAAGACTTCATCAACTCATTTCACATCAGTGTCTGTAAGTCACGTCATTCTCTCGGACAAATCTCATCTTTTCTATTATTAAATATCTCCTGTAACCAAACTAACAGTGACTAAAGTAAATCTCAAAGATGGAGACGTCTTTAACACTGGAAAATCACAATTTACATGATTTTATAAAAGTATCCTGATAAAAATGTGCAACACACACACACACACACACACCCACACACACACACGACAAACATGACATGCACTTCATCTGAAGACAATCATGACTAAAAGTGAATTTCTTATAAGAACAGACGTGGCTGATACAGAAGATCATAAGTGTTGACATATGGATATTAAATGATGATTAAACAGATGTGAATATGAAGACTCACCTGATACAGTCAGTGTAACTCCATCACTGAAGTCTGTGTGTGAGTCTGATCTCTCTCCTCTACATCTGTATTCACCACTGAGAGACGCAGAAGCTGTGAAACTGTAATATGCTGTTGTTGTTGTTGTTGTATATGGATTGACAGTGTTTCCATCTTTAATCCAGCTGTATCTCCACTGAATGTTTCCTCCTCCCTGTATGTCACATGTGAGAGTGACTCTCTCTCCTATGAACACACGCTGATCTGGCCTCACCTTCACTACAGGTTTTCCTGTATTAATACACATATGAGTAAATATTGAATAAAACAGCATCACAGTATCATGATCCATGTTATGATAATAATAAACTTTACATTCTATAGTGCCTTTAAAAGCTACATCTCAAAGCGATTCACAAAATTAAGAAAATATAAAAGAGTAATACAACAATATAAAGAAAATCATTCATAAAAGAGAAGTGCATTCAAATATACAATACAAATATAAAATGTTATAAAAAAAGGGTTCCATGTGAAAATGGTACAGAAAAAAAAAATAAAGAAATTAAATATATCAAATAAAATCTACCCTAAAAAAAGTCTGTTTTGAGGAAAGCTTTAAAACACTCAGAGAGCCCCATAGTTTTGGAGCAAATGAAGAGGAAGCCCCATCGCCAATCGATCCAAAACGAGTTGGCGGGACAGTTAAAAGACCAGCTTCAGTGGAGCAGAGATCACGAGTTTGTGATGTATGGGATTAAAAGTTCTGACAAATATTGAGGAGTCAGGCCATGGAAACCCTTATAAGTATATGCATTATCATTTTAAAACCAACATGAAACCTACAGGGAGCCAGTGCGAGGACTACAATGCCTCCCAGGATGTGTGTTTATCAAAGCAGAAGCAGAACAAAATAATGATTTACAGAAATAAAGTGCAGATGATGAACGAATGACAAGGCTGAATAAAATGAATGTAATGTTTACACTATACACTTACCCCACCTATAAATAATTTATTGGTTTCAACTTTATAATTCTATTATATAGTGCATCAACTTAATCAAGCAAAAGGTATTAAACTCCAAAATTTAAACTTACAATCTTAAATTGTTTGAGAACTACATGACAATTATATAACTTGCAAAAAATATACATGCAAAAAATATAGAGATAATAAGAGTTAATAACTCTTTATCACAAGTTAACAAACTAAAATGCATCAACACAATTAAACCACAACAATAACTAACACTGCATAAGTTATTGAAATTTATGTCCAAGCCTGTATCTCAATACTAGTTCGATCTCAGCGCTGCGTTCAACCACTGAAGGTAAATGAGTAGCTAAACTCGAGAGCACGTAGATGTGAATTTGAAAAGAGGGGTTTCACCGACGTCACGTTCTGGGCGGTAACCCGGATGCGCGGCCATTTTGGAGGTACTCGGTGTAAACAACTGAATGGAGCACAATGGACTATTGTGCGCTGTGGATACTTTAAGTGAATTATAGCCAGATCTAAACAACAGAAAAGCTCATCAAAACGCGTTCAAGATGCAAAGGCATATAGGGAAGGACTTGGGCCACAAGAAAAGGCGCGATATTTTGAGAAATTACGATTTATTGGCGGTGCAGATTCCTACGAGTTAGCTCCCTCTTCGTAGATCCATAACAACCCGGTGATTCTTCCTTCAGTTGCATATCCTGATATATTGAATTGTGCACCTTTTCTGTAATCGTGATATGTTCTTTAAATATTTTTGGCATTTGTTTTCTAGTTGGTAATATTTTTGTAAAGATATTTTGACAAATAAAAGTTATACTCAAGTTACATATAAAATTGTGTTTACAGTTAGTGTATTGCACTACATTACACTGTATAATTTATAGTAGTGTAAAGTTTATAAGTGTCCTGATAAAAGTCTTTTTTCTTTAATAAATCTGTGTTCTGATGATCGGGATATGCTGTGTGTTGTCATCCACAATGACTGTAAATTAACAATCATTTATAGATCATTTTTGGCTTAATAGACAATTAAGTTCAGACATGGATTAATTTATATTTTTATTGGCAAAGTGCATATAAAAATATAATTTAGATTTAGATTATAATTTAATTCAGATTAAAAATAATGTAATCTGATGGACTAAAGTTCACCAGAGCACAACAGACAAGTTCAATCTTATCTATGGTACAATACCCATCACTATCTTTGTACATCAATTGGCAATATTCCCCCCAAAATAGTATATTTCTGGCGCACACAACCAATCACACGCTCAACATGAATCCTGACGTGGGCAATTTAATGCGAATAAACATGACATCAATTACATCAGTGACAATCCTTGAAGCAGTGGCTTTTGACACGTTGAATGCATATGACAGGAAGGTTGTGGAAACATTAAGCCTAAGACGCATCAATGTCAAAATTTTGGAAGTCGATAATATTCCAAATGTTTTTCTCGGTTTTTCCTATTGGTACAACCTGAAACACGGCAATAATTAAACATTTTCCTTGACGACGTTCGAGATATAGCTCAGTGCCTATGCTTATTTTTTTTTTTTTTTTTTTTTTTTTTTATTAAATGCTCGTAAAGGAAAACATCACAACAACAAACAAACAAAAAAAACATATACCACAATTATTGTCATTGTCATAACATAAAAACCATTGAGTCCTTCAATCCAGATTAAGCTCCTTCTGTCTTTTTACTCCAGGTTAAGTGCCAAGTCCTTAAACGCAGCCACTGTTCTTATAGCTTTTAAGTTTTTAGAGAACTCTATAGATTCAAAGTACATTTTCATTTCAAGTTTAAATCTTACAAAAAGAGGACTGCAATTAGAAAATTTACATTTGTGAATGTGAAATTTAGCTAACAGAAAAATAAGATTTATAAAATAAATATCCCTTTTCTTTTCACATTCATGAAAACCAAAAATTACATTTCTATATGTAAAATCAAAGTTAGGATTCACATAACATTTTGTAAAATCACAAATGTCATACCAGAAAGTCATTGTGAGAGAGCAGTTCCAAAATAAATGTAAAGAAGTCTCAGGTTTCTCTGAACAGAAAGAACAGAGGGTATTAATATCATTCTTGAGCCTTTTGAGAAAACACTTATTTGGATAAACCCTATGAATTAACTTAAAGGTAATTTCTCTTATTTTGTTAGTTATCAGGTATTTGTGAGGTAATGTCCAAACTTTTTTCCAGGGAATGTCACTTACAAAACCATTCCAGTAAGAAATTACACATGGCATAGAAACAGACTCCTCCTGAAACAAGACTCGAATTTTCTTATTATTTTTTGATTTAGAAGAAGAAAAGCACTGTTTACCTACAAATGTCTTACACAGATCCACTGAGCGGTAAAGAGATGAAGAAGAAAATCCTTTAAAAAGCATGAGAACCCCTTGTGGCACTGCATCAGCCACAATTGCAAACTCTTTAGGAGTGACAGGAATTCCATGCTTTACCAAGAACTCTGAATAATTACAGATCAAACCATTTTGATTGAAAAGTTGATATACAAAAATAATTCCGTTTTTAAACCAATTATCAAAGAAAATAGATTTATGTTTATATAGTAGGTTCTTGTTATTCCAAATTGTATAAGAGTGAAGTGTAAAATTGTGTTTAAAAATGAGGGACCAAGCTAATAACATTTGCCTGTGAAAAAGGGATAATTTGATAGGGATTTTCATTATGTTATAATTACAGGTTAATAAGAATTTTAAACCCCCTAGTTTAGAAAAAATAGCATTAGGGATCAGATTCCAGATAGAAGCGGGCTTATTAATAAAGTTCTTTATCCAGTTTATTTTAAAGGTATTGTTTAAGGTGGTAAAATCGAGAAAGTTTAAACCCCCCTTCTCAATGGTGTTCATAAGTACAGATTTTCTGATAAAATGAGTTTTATTCTTCCAGACAAAGTTGAGGAGCATTGTATCAATTTTTTTAAGAATGGCGGTGTCGACACTTAAAGAAAGAGCAGCGTATGTTAACCTTGACAAGCCCTCAGCTTTGGCTAATAAAATTCTTCCCTTTAATGACAGATCTCGCTGGAGCCACATATAAAGTCTCTTCTGTGTACTCTCAATTAGCGGATTAAAATTTACAGAGCATCTTTCTAATTCATTTTTTGTTATAATAATACCTAAATATGACACCTGATCTTTAATTTGAATATTACAAATTTGAGACAAATTACACTCTTTGATGGACATCAATTCACATTTCGAAAGGTTCAATACTAAGCCCGAGGCTTTAGAGAATTGCTGGATATGCTCTAGAGCTAACGGAACTTGGTTAGCATCATGCAAAAAAAGTGTGGTATCATCAGCCAACTGACTGATGAGGATCTGTTGGTCAGCAATAGAGATACCACGAAGACCACTATTCAAAACATAAGAAGCAAATATCTGGGAAACTAGTAAAAACAAATACGGGGATATTGGACATCCTTGTCTAATACCACGTGACAAGTAAAACCTCGGAGAAGTACCAAATTTTAATTTGATTGAACTATTACAATTGTAATAAAGAGTCCTTACCGCCTTACAAAAATATTCACCAAAACCAAACTTTTCCATTGACTTAAAGATAAAATGATGTTCAACTGAATCAAACGCTTTATAAAAATCCAGGAAAAGAATAAAACTATTATGTTCCACCAAATTGCTATAATCAAATAAATCTAAAACTAATCTAATGTTATTCATTATGTGTCTGTCTCTCATAAATCCAGACTGTGTTTCATCTATAACGCTATCCAAACATTCTTTAAGTCTTTTAGCAAATATTATGGCAAAAATTTTATAATCGTTGTTAAGGAGTGTGATGGGTCGCCAATTGTCCAAATATGTAAGATCTTTCTTTGGTTTAGGAATTAGTGTGATGATACCCTGCGTTAAAGTAGGAGGTAAAGCTTCTTTATCAATACTCTCTTTAAAAACACTTGTCAAAAATGGAGAAAGTTCATCAGCAAATAATTTATATAGCTCAGCTGTAAGTCCATCACATCCTGGGGATTTATTGTTTTTCAAACTCTTAATTGTGCTTATTATTTCCTCATGAGTAACAGCTCTATCACAACACAATCTATCACTTTCAGAGATAGCTTTAACATTATTAACTGAATCCAGAAACAAAGTCGATGTCTCCTCTGTACATTTTGAACTATAAAGATTTTTATAAAAATTGGCACTGACATTGGCTATATCCTTTGGATCTTTAACAACTTTGCCATCAACACATAATTTCTCAATTGTTGAAAGGGTAAAATTTCATTTTTCAAGCTTAAAGAAATATGCAGAGTTAAGTTCTCCTTCTTCAAGCCATCTTTTCCTGGATCTTATATAAGCACCCCTAGCCTTTGATAAGTATAAATCATCTAATTTAGTTTGCAAGGCTGCAAGTTCAGATTTCTCCTTCAAAGACAGACAATTAAAATTACGGGTTTGAGATAATTTCATGATCAGGCTGTCCTCAAGAACTCTTCTCTTTTTGGATAAATTTGCTCCAACTTTCCTTAAATAAACTCCAATCTCAAATTTTAGAAGCTCCCAATTGGCACAAAAAGAATTTTTAATTGTAGCTGCATTCCAATAGTTAGCAATTAATTATTTAATTGTGTACTTTACAGTGCCTATGCTTATTGTGATGCGGACATTGCGGAGTGCCTCCAAAATGGCCGACTTCCGGTTTGATGACGCGTCGTGAAACCCCTCTATGGGCGTAGGAGCCATTACACGTAAAAAAAAAAAAATAAAAAAATAAAAAAAAAAGGAGCCATTACACGTGATCTCAAAATCTAAGTCGATGGTCGATCGACCATGATCGCGGCATCGCGCACCGCTCGCGCATGCGCATCTAGGTGACACGGATAAATGTACGCATCAATATGTTCCTGGGAGATCTGTAGTTGCACGGGATGTGGAAGCGCGCAAAAGTTCTAAAAATGTACAAAAAGTGCCCTGGCCTTGAATGACAATGTAAGTAAAATAAGACTAAACCAAAATTAAGACTTGGACTTGGACAGACTTGGTTGGTATTTTTCTCAGGAGATGTTTTAAGCATTTTACTTCAGACACCGGATTATCAGCAAACTGCCAAGAGAGCTGCTAGCTGGCTAAACTAGCAATCTATTCAGTCAGCATTTGTGTTTGATCTGTGTGAAAAACTTGAAATATAATTGCTAGACCTACTTTTAGCTACCAAGCAACCTTCACAAGGGATAGATTGATTATATTTTTTAGTATTTATTTATGTAAATCAAATCAACCATTTATTTGAGTTAATCAGTACATGACTGATTAACAGTAGGCTAATGTAAATGCTAAATGCCCTAATACATGTTGATACAACAATGCAAAGTATATGTTCTTAACCTTGCAGTTTTTCACATATCATGTAAGACTCAATTTCTCCATTTTTTTTTTGCACAAAACTCTCTAGAAAGTGTCATTTAATGGTTTATTTTTCAAAAAAATGTCCCGGGGGAGCATACCCCCGGACCCCCTTAGCATTGACTGTCCCCCCCCAGGTTCAGAATTGCTCCTACGCCCCTGGAACTTGTACAATATTCGTACGTGAACGCAAACATTTACACTCACAGCTCCGATTTGAAAACCTGTAAAGTAAAAATCTGAACTTGAACGCTGAGATTTGCACTCACAGACAACAGTCACAAAACTGTATTCTGAATCTGAAGCTGCAGACAAGCAGTCACAAATGTGAAAAATATATTTGCACTTCTTCTAACATTCAAATTCGCAGTACAACTTCAAATTGGCACTTGCATCTAGTGATGTGACGTTCGGCACCGAGGCTTCGCAGCTTCTATCAAAAAAACGAAACTCTCACGTGAAGCACTGTACCAGAGCTTGATTCGTTTTGCCATAACCATGTGATCAGTGACGTCCGAAGCTTCGTTTCAACACACAACCACGTGACTGCTTCATATTCTGATTTAAAAATAGCGCAAGCCCCTTGCGCAGGTTTCAAGTGTCATGCGCTTCGGTAGTGAATGGGCCAAGGGGGTAATCCATCGACCGGAAGTTGAAGCCTCGCGGGAGCTGCCATCTTGTAGCAGAACTTCACTTGCGTTAGCATTCCCATTGACTCCCATTCATTTTGGCGTCACTTATTTGCAACCCAGCGTTCTTACCCAACAGTCTCAACCCAGCGAATGGGTTGAAAAAATTGCCCTGCATCTTTTAGAGTATAAAGTATTTTGTTGCAAATATATTAATGATGATAGTAGATAGAATACAGTATATAAAGAGTTCGGTCTGAACAGTGCCTCGATTATTTATACTGTATCAGAGAGAGTTAATGAGGACAATGATGTTGAACTCACCCTTCACAGAGAGAGAAACAACAGAGCTTGATGTTGATGAGTTTGGTCTTCCATATCTCTGTCCTTTACACCAGTACTGACCCTGATCAGACTCAGTAGCTCTTCTGATAGTGACAGTGTCTCTGTTTACTGTGTAACGATCATATGTCTGTAACTTTACACTGTCTTTATACCACTCATATCTCCAGTTACTGTGATCAGAGTTTATCACACACTTCAGATTGACTGTTTCTCCAGTGAATACAGGACCGGCTGGTGTCACAGTCACTGTAGATGTGGGTAAACCTGAGAAGAGACACAGAAACACAAACTGACTCAAACATCTCTTTCAGGTGCAATTTGAAAGAATTACATTTTGTAAATGTTTTGAGGACATTGAAGATCTCAATTAAGTTTTATATATTATAACATCATTGCATTAAACATGCAATGTCATGAGGTCATGTGATAACGTTAAATAATATATCGGTGTATAATGTGTTCTGATGCACATGGGTGATAGTAGATCTAATACATATATAATACAAAGCTGACAGGAGATCTGAGGACCCAGTGCAGAAAAAGCAAGGGGTGTCATTTATAGACGAATCCGACGAGCGTTCTGTGTCTGACGCCATTACTGAGCTGTTACACAGGCATATAGACATATGCACCGGTATGTAAACAAACCTCGGTGATAACGCGAACTCACCCTCGATGACAGCTACAGCCAGGCAGAATGACTTGTTGGTTTGATCTGTGACTGCAGTGGCCTCCAGTCACAGATGAAGGTACAAACGATCTTACAGATTAACGTTATTTATGAAAATAGCTTGGCAAGCTAGCTAGGCTAACGTTTGCTAACGAGGAAACTATAAAAAGATCTGTCCATTTGGTAACAATAAATAAATAAATGAATAAAATCAAATAAACAAATTCATGTTTTTCATTTGTGTCCATTATTTATCTCATTTTCACATTGCAACAGGTAAGGGTAAGGTAACGTTACAGCTAGAAAGTATACATAATATCGACCAATTAGTGTTTTTAAACCATGGAAAGAGGTCAATATAACAGCAGGAAAACAATTATGTCACATAACGTTACATTTAGCTCAGGAAAGCCATTTAATGACCATAGCATGTTAATTGAATAGAAAAATAAAGAGAGGAGATTTTGCTGATCACTATATCACATATTTATTATATATTTTTTTCCTTATGTCATTAAATAATTGTTATTATACGCGAATGTCCACGTCTTGTACTCGCCCAGGAAATCTGTAAACCGTACGGCACCAGACAGGGGCACTCGACCCGGGGTATTCACAGTGTTTTCTCTTCAAAATTGAAATTTTACTGCCACAATTGAAACAATTTATAACGGAAACTGTTTACCCACTCGACATTATACAAGAGATAACGTTGTAACGTTAGTGACAGTCGTAAATCGCGGGCTGTTTATTCCAGTGGACGCAAGTTGCAACTAAAACAATAGGAGGCAATGGCGCAACGCTACCCAGCAACAGCTCAGTAATGGCGCCCGCTTACTTCCGGTAGTTTCGCCGGATTCGTCTATAGACAACAAGTACAAGATATGTGAGGTAGAAATACAGTCTACACGATAGGGCAGGGAACGCAACTGGAGAACAGGTCGAAGCTGAGACAGAAAGACATGACAGCCAAAGATGGAGACACGGCAGCGGCTCAGGGAATCAGAGCATGACAGATGGAGATGAGACTGGACGTAATAACAGACCAGGAGAATCATCGACCAACACCAGACAAGACTGAACCGGCCAACACAACAAATAAAAGCAAAATAAAACTGATGATGAGACTGGAGAAAAATAAAGACAGCCCTATACTATAATAACAGGATCCAGCGAAATAAATAAAAGATCTAGACATAAATAACAGCAACTTGGATAAATAAAGAAAACCTTGGGAATTAGAGAGATATTAAATAAAACATTAGTTAATAATAAAAATAAAATAAAAAAATAAAAATAAAACTTGTAAGAACTATCAAGATAAAGACTTGACTTAGACTTTAGTGATGCTACATATGACACTGAAGCTTAAAAGCGTGTATCGAGTTCGCAGTGAAATTACTCATTTTGCTTTGTGTCGGAGCGCGTATTGTTTTCAGAGAAACATGTGATCAATGAAACACGAAGCCTCACTTTCTGTCCAGTTGCGTGAATGCTTCACATAGTTTGTGTGTCGGAACATTTGAACCCAGACCAGAGAATGTCTAATTGAAGAGAATTGGCACTGGCTGGTTACTTCCGGTTTCTGGACTGGCTGCAGTGACACGTGTCTGTCCATGCGGGGGCGCTCGCGGTCGAGTGCAGAATGAATGGGAGTCAATGGGGTTTCACCCCAGAAATCCAATTTTTTGTCAAGTAATTTGAAAGTTGCATTCAAAATGGAGGGCTAAGAAAATACACTCAGCTGAAAATTGCATTTTTAAGTTCACTTATCTGTTCTAAAAATCCGTTCAAAAATGTGATGACGTCACACAATAGCAGAATGCTAGCGTGTTCTGGCCAACAACAGCCTAACCTGTAAGAAATCGAAAGGACATAAGTACTCATTCATTCGACTTTGGGCCTATAATCTATATTGAACTTGCGGAATCAACAATAAAATCTATTTTGATTTAACGACAAGCAGGTGAAAGAGACACATTTAGTCGTTTAGCCCCATAGACTCCCATTCATTCTGCTCTCGCCCGCGATCACCTCCAGTGGAATTCTAATGGAACTGCAACCAGGATGATGCACAATAGGGCTAGTAGGAAGTGCCAAGGCTCTCCGTTAGACGTGCTCTGCCCAGACCACGACAGGGTTTCGGAAGTTTAAGTCAATTTTCAATTTTTTTTTTTTTTATTATTTCATTTTATTTTTATTTTATTTTTAATCTAAATATGCCTATAGCCTATGTTACATGATCATATATCCTTTCATATTATAAACAGCATAGAGACCATAAAATAATAAGACCACCATTTACTTGCATCAAGCAACTGTTGGTATTTTTACAGTTAGTATTAATTGTTATATTTAATTTATTGCCACACTTTAATATGTGAATTATATTATCAGAAAACTGAACATTTAGCTAAAACAACAGCGACGCGCACTCGGGTCTGTGGCTGCTATACATTTGTCCTGCCTCAAGACGGCGCTGTTTCAACACTATTGATGCTTCACATCTTTTCCTGGAACAAGCAGGGGAAAGTCTCTGTGCTTCATAAGGCTTCATTTGCCCTTCCTTACGAGACTTAAAATCAGGAACAAAGAAAAAAACTGGATACAAATCTAATCAAAACAAAACAAACACAAAGCTAGAACTGACAAATAATCTAAATCTAGCACTGACTGTCAGAAGCGAGAATGCACACAATGAAGGAAAACAACACATAAATGAACCAGCAAACACATGAGGGACAATATAAAGGGACCAGAGCACATGAGGATCAGGTGAGCACGATTAGTAAAAACTACTGAGGCTGGTACCATGATGGCAACAAACTCAGGGTTGCAGGTTTACGTTCGAGTTGACAAAACCAAACCAGTCCAACCAGGCTTCGTTGGTACCATGATGCTGATCATCAACTTTCTCTGTCAACTCAGGCTTTGATCCTCCTTAGTTTAGGAGTTTAGGTGTGACATCATGAGCGAACAGCCAATCACATGCTGAGAAAGACTGAAACTCATTCAAAACTCATTGAAATGCATTTCTCGCAAGAGAAACAGTGCGATTCACTTCTCAAATAAAAGTATTAAAATATTAATAATTTAAACAAATTTACACATCAAGAAGAAAATAGCTGTCAAAGAAAGAGGACAACTAAAAAACTAAAAAAAGTCTTGCTATCCTGTATATCAGTGCACGTTAAAGTTATATTATAGCTTTTACCTATTGATTCTAAAGTGTATTTATATTACCAACTTTATATATTTATTCATTTAAAATATGTGTAATAGTAATTGATGAACAAAAAATGTACATTTGTGATCGATTAAGGGTATAATAATTACATGAATAATTTATAAATCATACAAATGTTTTATTCTAAATAAGCATTACTAAAAGCCAGACGATTTTGTCTTTAATAATCATTTGCTGCAGTGACCTTTAATTTGGAGCAGAAACAGGTGGAGTGACTTTTATCACGTCAGACGTGTCACTTTGCTCACAGCTGATTGGTCAAAGTTCCGTTTGCAACCTTTCACCTGGAGCCTCACCTGCCCCGGACCAGGTTAGCGGTAGAGTGTAAGTTACTATGGAGATGAACACTGTTAAAAGCAAAACCACTTCCATGGTGCCTAAAACCCAGGGTTGCCGCAAACTAAACTGAAACACAGCTGGCTAGCCACCTAAACCGGATTCATGATACAGGCCCCTGGACCAGGACTAAACAAGGGGGCGGGACATGAGGAGCACATGACAAACACAAACATAAACAGAGCCATGCACTCAAACACAAGACACACACAGAAACATGACACAAAGACGACACAGACAAGGCTGGCAGGGCAGAACACTGACACAAAGCTGTGATAAGTAAGACAGTAGTTCAATCTGAACAGTCTCTTGATTGTGTGTGTGATCATAGAATGAGTTTATGAGGACAATGATGTTGAACTCACCCTTCACAGAGAGAGAAACAGCAGATCTTGATGTTGATGAGTTTGGTCTTCCATCTCTCTGTCCTTTACACCAGTACTGACCCTGATCATACTCAGTCGCTCCTCTGATAGTGAGAGTGTCTGTGTTTACAGTGTAACGGCCAGACGTCTGTAACTTTTCACTGTCTTTATACCACTCATATCTCCAGTCACTGTGATCAGAGTTTATCACACACTTCAGTTTGACTGTTTCTCCAGTGAATACAGGACCGGCTGGTGTCACAGTCACTGTAGATGTGGGTAAACCTGAGAAGAAACACAGAAACACAAACTGACTCAAACATCTCTTTCAGTGCATTGTAAAATAATTACATTTTGTAAAAGTGCATTAAAGCTCCTGCGTTCATCAGAGTCAGAATAAACACAGAACAATCTCTGCTCAAACATTATATACTGTATTACATTCTTCCTCCAGCTCTACATGTAAATGAAGTTTAGTCTTAAAAGTAAATTGAGGAAAACAATGAAACTGAAAGCCTTCCGCCCCCACATCTTTGATATTGTTTGAGACGGGACTCCGTGTGTCCTTCATGTATCTTCTGAACATTATTCTTGACGACTCCCCGCAACTCCCAATCTACAGTAGAAGTGATAGAGTTTCACTCTATGAATATTCAAAGACCATATTCTAATCCATATCTTGAAGTGGAAGCTGAGTCAGGACAGACTATAATTTCTTACACTATTACATACTTTTGGCATGAATCTATGAACGGTGCATACTGATAAGTCTTTACAGTCCCGGTAAAGTCAAAATTAAGTATGTGTTCTGAGTTTGCCACACCACAGAAAATGTGTTATTAGCCACCCAGCCAAATCTGAATGATAAAAATCTGACAAGTAAGCTATCAAAATCTTGAAAAAATTAGCAGTATTCTCTGATCTCAAGCGCTGGGGGCGTGTCCGCTGTGGGGGCGTGTCTGCTGGTTGCGCTGAAACCACGCCCACTCGTGGGAAACCTGTCGACGGTGAAACTGCTTTCGTAACGGGAGGATGAACGCTGAGGCGGGAGATGGTCGGCTCGGCTCCATTCACGAGTAACAGCGGATTATCAGTGAATCACAGTTGTTTTCAACGAAAGTTTATAAAACTATCCTGTGTAAAATCATCACTACAGAGGCGGGTGTTGGTGATGATCTTCAGCTCTCCGTCAAGGTGACTCTTCACAAAGTGAATCCACCTCTTCTTGGTCATTTTTTTGGAAATTTAAATAAAGACACCGATCTGTTTTGGAAGTGATGTCATCCAGGTAGTAGCCTTGTAACATCTACTTTTAAGAAAGCTTTCTAAGAAAGATTGCTACATAATAAAGTGAGGGACCAGAGACTTCACATTTCAATGAGCCATGTGTATTATACCATAAATCAGCATTCAGGCAGTAACCATACAAAATACATGAGGCATTCATTTACAAGACAATAGGGCTAATTCAGCTCTTCCCAATAATGCTTTTGGTAGCCAAGAGTTCAGTCCTTAGAGTCCCACAAGTAACAAGAAACTGTACTTAAGCGCAGAGCGGAAGAGTTCACAATGGTCTGAATCCAAGTGTCCAAGCAGCGGTTGATACTAGGACAAACTGTAGTTCAAGGCACAAACAGCAGATGCCAAAGGTGTGATTGTAGACAATTAATTCCATATTGGTCAAGGGTTTAGTTATAGATGAGTTGCTGCCTCATGCCTGCACGATGAACCCTCTGCATCAAACAAACAAACAAACTGAGTGCCACCATAACACATTTACATCTCATTTGCTGACACATCACCTAACATTACACATACAAACAAAGTACAAACTGAACACTTACGTTTGAGCATAGGAACCACAGGTTCCTCAAATCAGGGAAAAACATGACCACACTAGTAGGGAAGCTTCTCCATGTGCTTAACACATCCTTCCTTCCTTACTCTACTTCTTCTACCATTTTATGCTACTAGGAACCTTCCTTACTAGAGTACCCCCTAGTGGTAGAACGGAGTATTACACAGTACAGAGAGCTAATAAGACAAATGTAACTGCAAGCTGTTACACACCCCTCTCCCTAAAGAAAAGTCTCAAATACTCCCATAGAATTTTTTTAACTTTTCAATATGGTAAGTATCACATTGGTTCGGATTGTCAAGCATTACTACCTTGTAATTGACATTATTCATTCTCTTCAAAATCTTTGCAGGTCCCTGCCATTTTGGAGCTAATTTGGCAGTAAAGTAATCAGCAGCTCGAGAAAGATGATGAGTCAGTACCCAAACCAGATCTCCTTCCTCAAAGGTTTCAGCCCTTCTTCGTTTATTGTAGTACTTGGCTTGCCTCTCCTGTGCTTGACTAGTTTTGTCCCTCACTTGGTCCAGAAGAATCTTCTGTCTCTCGATTGTGGTATAGGCTACATGATCGGGATTAGGCGCCTTGCGGACTAACCGTTCAAGAGGTCCTTTTAACTTACGTCCAAGTGCAATTTCCGCTGGAGTAAGAGCTGTACTCTCTTGCCACGCCGAATTTATAGCATATCGGAACTCTGGTAACCACTTATCCCAGTCACGATGGTTATCATGGACAAAAGATGCTATCATCGTTTTCAAGGTTCTGTTGACCCTCTCAGTTAAGTTGGTCTGAGGATGATAAGCTGTTGTGAGTTTCTGAACCACACCCCATCGTTTACAGGTATCACTTAGTAGCTGGCCAGTGAATTGAGGTCCTCGGTCTGAAACCAAGTATACCGGCGTTCCCCATCTTGTGAACATCTCTTTTATCAGTATGTTGGTTATGAGGTGAGTTTTCGAAGACCGCAGAGCAAAGAGTTCTACCCACTTGCTGCAATAATCCACAAAGACTAATAGGAATTCATTGGATCGAGGGCTTCTCGGGAAAGGACCCATCAAATCCACTCCGAGCATATATCCCGGTTCTACTACTGGGGTTGACTGCAACAATCCGGATAGCTTAGTGATTCTTGGTTTGTAGGCTTGACACGTCTTACATACCTTACAGAAACTCCAAACATCTTTGCGAATTTCAGGCCAATAAACATTGTCAAGTAGCCTCCGTAGAGTTTTCATTCTTCCCAGATGACCACTCAATGGATTTGCATGAGCAAATTGCAGGAATGCTTCCCTCAATGATGCAGGTATGACTAGCTGATTAGTGTACCCTAGTTGCTTGTCCGGTACCCTACGAAACAAGTAGTAATTTTCCACAATGTAAGCAACACGGCTTGGGTCAGTATTAGTTTGGTTAGCTGACTCCCATAAGGTCTGTAAAGAAGGATCAAGCTTTTGAGCTCTTCCAATCTCATCCCAGCTGACTGGTAAATTAGGGTCTGGTTTTGTAGGTTGACACAGGGCAATGTGGCCTACCACCTCTTGCACAGGTATGCCTCTGGATAGGGCATCAGGTACCACATTACAGGATCCCTTACGGTACTTAACAGTGAAGTTAAAACTTTGCAGCCTTAAAGCCCACCTAGTCAAACGGGAGGATGGTTTGGGTTGATTGAATACCCAAGTCAGGGCAGAATGGTCTGTGAGTACTTCAAAGTTTCTTCCCTCCAGGTACTGTCTCCACTTTTCTACAGCCCACACCACGGCTAAACACTCCTTCTCAGCTGTTGAATATGATTTCTCAGCTCCATGAACCAGTCTCGAAGCATAAGCGATGACATGCTCCAATCCATCAACCTCCTGTGTCAGAACAGCTCCTAATCCTATATCACTAGCATCCGTTTGTACTTTAAAATCTTTTGTGAAATCAGGTGGCATTAGAACTGGTGCTTGTTGAAGGGCACTTTTAAGATCATCAAAAGCTTTTTGACATTCAACTGTCCAATCCCACACTGCATCCTTCCCTTTTAACGCGTACAAAGGTGCTGCTCGCTCAGAAAAATGAGGAATGAAGCGGTGGTACCAACTTGCAAGGCCTACAAATCTCTGTCCCTCCTTGACTTTCTTGGGTACCGGGAAATCACGGACCGCTTCAATTTTTGAGGATTCAGTACGGACTCCTTCTCCAGAAATAACATGTCCTAGGTAAGTGATGGTCTTTTGCAACATAGAACACTTCTTGAGATTGAGAGTTAATCCTGAAGCTTCCAGCTTTGCAAAGAGTTGCTTGAGATGTTGGAAGTGATCTTGAATGCTCCCGGAATAGATCACAATGTCATCAAGATAAACAAAACAGAACTTCCCCAAGTAATCTCTCAGAACGTTGTTCATTAGCCTTTGAAATGTTGCAGCGGCGTTTTTGAGACCAAAAGGAAGACGAACAAATTCAAATTGATTGTTTCTGGTGACAAAAGCAGTCTTTTTAATACTGTCTTCATCCATTCCTACTTGCCAGTAACCAGATTTAAGGTCCAATGTGCTGAATATGGTCGCTCCATACAAGGATTCTAGGATATCTTGAATCTGTGGCATTGGAAATCCATCAAGAGGAGTCTTTGCATTTAACCCCCGGTAGTCAACACAAAAGCGAGTGCTACCATCCTTCTTTGGCACTAAGACTACTGGTGCAGCCCAAGGAGAAACAGATGGCCTTATGATGCCTTTGTTCAACAGATTCTCTACCTCTTCATCTATGAACTTTTGTTTGGTAACGGAAACGGGGTAAGCTTTCTTACGCACAGGAATCTCGTCAGTCGTATGAATTCGATGGTGAATCAAAGTAGTCTGTCCCAAATTATCTGTGCATACTGTCGGCCAATCAAGCATTAGACCTTCTAACTGCCGCTTCTGCGCTTTAGAAGCGTCAGCTCGATTCACTACTTCTTTTACAGCCGTTAGTGTAGTGGAAGTCGTTGGCACTAAAGGTAGTGCAAGGTGCAGACTGATCATTGGCAAGGGTGAAGAAGTGTTGAAGGAGTAGATTGTGTCACTGTCTTCAGGTAATGTATAAGTGGAATTTCCAAAATCAAGACGGATACCGGAAGTCATCAGGAACTCAAGCCCCAGTACAACTGAGAACGCCAGATCACTGTCTCTCATTACATAAGCCCTTAGCGGATAGTCATGACCATGGACTGTAGCCTGCCAAGCTATCTTCCCCAAGGCTGTCTGTACATGACCATTTGCGAGTGAAAATGACTGTCCCCTACTTGATTGCATAACTTCATTGGGTGACAATTGCTGCCAACAGGATTCTTGTACTATTGAATAAGTGCTTCCGGTGTCTAGAATTGCTTGATATTGATGGCCTTTTATGGTTATGGGTAAAGTTAATGTAGACATCGGCTTTCCATCATGTTCTGAAAAGACTGCAA